GGCCATTTAGCAAGAGGTACGTGGAACACTGAGGCCAGGTGTTGCTTGTTTGGGGTTTGTGAACTTTTGAGAGAATATAGGAAAGTCAGCAGCATAAGCCAAGACCTACCATTTGTATGGAAAAAGCACCAGAGGCAGCTTGGGTGGGACCTCAAGTTGGGTAGTGCAGAGTCTCAGGGAATTATCAGGGCAGGGGGGAAAGTGTTAGTCAGGTTGATGGAGACTCAGATATGGCACCTGCCTGTGCCTGGAAGGGGAGGGCTCAGCAAAGGAACAAGGGCTTCTGCCAACACTTTTGTCTGTGAGGAAGCTGCCCCTCTAGAACCTCACCCTAAAGCCAGAAAACTCAGTTCCTTCCCATATGTCCCTGACACCTTCTGAGCTGCTGCTCTAGCTCTGGAGCTCAGAGTGAGTGAGTCCAAGTAAGCCTGGGCATAGGCCCTTTAGAACAAGACCTGGGACTCCAGCAGCACCAGGGTCTTACTCAGCCACACTGTCTGCTGGTTTTCACAGCCAGAAGTTATGGAGAGTTCTCTTCCTGGCACTGGAACCCTGGGCTGTGGAGCCTAGCACTGATTTGAGACTCCTTGCTCCTTAAGGGGATCTCTGCAGCTGAGATATCCCTCCTGATAATTAACTGCCACATGTGGGTAGGTATGGGACAAGCCAAGTTCCCCTTCTTTTTTTTTAAATTAAAAAAAATTTTTTTTATCCATATTGTTGAATGTATTACAGATGTTCCTCATTTTTCTCCCATTGACCCCCTTCTCCCCACTCCTGCCTCCCTCCTGCCTTTCCCCACACTGTTGTCTGTGTCCATTGGTTATGCATATATGCATATAAGTTTTTCGGTTTATTTCTTCCCACCCCATAACCCTCTTTCCCTTTGAGGTTTGTCAGTCTAACAACCAATTTGTACTTCTTAATCCCTTCACCCTTTTCACCCATTCTCCCAACCCCCCCTCCCATCTGGCAACTAACAAAATGTTCTCTGTATCTATGACAATGTTTCTATTCTGCTTGTTCATTTTGTTTGTAGAGTCAATTGTCCATAGATATGTATTCATTGCCATTTTGTTTCTTCATATTTTTTATCTTCTTCTTCAAGAAGACCCTTCAGCCCTGGCCGGTTTGGCTCAACATTTCATATAATAATGGTTTAGTGGTGATGAACTCCTTTAGCTTTTCCTTGTCTGGGAAACTCTTTATATGGCCATCAATTCTAAACAACAGCTTTCCTGGTCGGTTTGGCTCAGTGGTTAGAGCGTTGGCCTGCGGTCCAGCGAGACCTGGGTTCAGTTCCCGCTAAGGGCATGTACCTCAGTTGCAGTTTGTCCCCGTCCCCGGTTGGGGTCGTGTGGGTGGCAACCACTCGATGTGTCCCTTTCACGTTGATGTTTCTCTCTCTCTCTCTCCCTCCCACTCTATCTAAACAAAAAATGGAAAAATGTCCTCGGGTGAGGATTAAAAACAAAAAAACAAAAACAAACATACCTACTGCACTGCCAGTTTTAAATAAAAAAAAAAATAAACGACAGCTTTGCAGAATAGAGTATCTTGGTTGTAGGTTCTTGCTTTTCATCACTCTGATTATTTCTTGTCACTCCCTTCTGGCCTGCAAAGTTTCTTTAGAGAAATCAACTGACAGTCTTATGGGAACTCCCTTGTAGGTAACTAACTGCTTTTCTCCTGCTGCTTTTAAAATTCCCTCTTTGTATTTAACCTTTGGCATTTTGATGATGATGTGTCTTGGTGTGGGCCTCTTGGGGTTCATCTTGTTTGGAACTCTCTGTGCTTCCTGGACTTGTATGTCTGTTTTCTTCACCAAGTTAGGGAAGTTTTCTGCCATTATTGTTTCAAATAGGTTTTCAATTTCTTATTCTCTCTCTTCTCCTTCTGGCACCCCCAGATGCGAATGTTGGCACCCCTTGCAGTTGTCCCAGAGGCTCCTTACACTATCCTCATATTTTTGGATTCTTTTTTCTTTTTGCTGTTCTGATTGGGTGTTTTTTGCTTCCTTATATTCCAAATCGATGGTTTGCTTCTTGGCTTTACCTACCGTACTATTGAATCTGTGTAAATTCTTCTTCTTCTTCTTTTTTTTTATCCTCACCCGAGGACATTTTTCCATTTTTTGTTCAGGTAGAGTGGGAGGGAGAGAGAGGAACAGAGAGAGAGAGAGAAATATGGATATGAAAGGAACACATCGAGTGGCTGCCACCCATACAACCGACCAGGGCCGGGGACAAACTGCAACCGAGGTACGCGCCCTTAGCGGGAACTGAACCCGGGTCTCTCAGGACCGCAGGCCGACGCTCTAACCGCTGAGCCAAACCGGCCAGGGCATAAATTATTCTTTATTTCAGTTACTGTCTCCTTCATTTCTGACTGTGCATCCTTCATTTCTGACTGGTTCTTTTTTATGCTCTTAAGGCCCTCACTAAGTTTGCTGAGGTTCTCATTAAGTTCATTGAGCATCTTTACAAGCAGTGTTTTGAACTCAGCATCTGTTAGGTTGCTTATCACCATTTTGCTTAGTTCTTTTCCTGGAGTTTTGTTCTGTTCTTTTATTTGGGACCTGTTTCTTTGTCTCCTCATTTTGGCTGCCTCCCTGTGTTTGTTTCAGTGTGTTACTTCACTAGAGGTATGGGGCTAGCTGAGGCCAGATGCTGCTTGTTTGAAAGAATTTAGGAAAACCTGAAGCAGGGTCCAAGACAGGCCAATCCTATGGTTAAGCAACTGGCAACAGCTTGGGTGGGCCTGAAAGTTGGGTGGGGCAAGGCCTCAGGGAATCACCAGGGCAGGGCTACCAGTGTGAGCCAGGTTGCTGGAGTCCCAGATATGGTGACTGTCTGCCGCCCCAGGGAAGGGCTCACCAAAGGAACAAAAGCCTCTGACAGCACATCTATCCAGGAGAAAGCCCCCTCTCCAGCCCTTGCTCCAGTGCCAAACAGCTCAGTTCTTCCCTGTATGTCTCTGGCGCCCCTCCAGCTGCCTCCCCTCTAAGCTTAGAGGGAGTGAGTTGGATAAGTCCATGCACGGGCCCTTTAAGAGGAGCTGCCTGAGCCCTGGCCGGTTTGGCTCAGCGGTTAGAGCATCGGTCTGCGGTCCTGAGAGACCCGGGTTCAGTTCCCACTAAGGGCATGTACCTCAGTTGCAGTTTGTCCCCGGTCCTGGTCGGTTGTATGGGTGGCAGCCACTCGATGTGTTCCTTTCACATCGATGTTTCTCTCTCTCTCTCAATTCCTCTTTCTCCCTCCCACTCTACCTGAACAAAAAATGGAAAAATGTCCTCGGGTGAGGATAAAAAATAAAAAAATAAAAAAATAAAAAAATAAGAGGAGCTGCCTGAGGCTCCAGCCGCTCAGCCTCCCTCAGCCTCAGTTCCCGCTGGTTTTTCCAGCCAGAAGTTATGGGGACTTCTCTTCCTGCCACTGGTATCCTGAGTGGGGTGCCTGGTGTGGGACGGAGACCCCTCAGTCCTCAGGAAGGACCTTCGTAGTGGAGGTATCCTCCTAATTTTTATCTGCCACATGTGAGTGTGGGGCCAGCCCCTGGTGCCTCCGCCCCTCCTACCAGTCTCCATGCGGCTTCTTCTTTAATTTCATAGTTGTAGGACTTCCATTCAACTTGATTTTAGGTGGTTCTGAATGATGATTGTTCTGTAGTTTAGTTGTAACTTTGATGTGGTTGTGGGAGGACCCTCGTTTACCTACCCTGCCATCTTGACCGGAAGTCCCAGTTCCCCTTCTATCCCCCTCCTAATAGTCTCCCCATGCTTCTATATAACATTAGTTATAGAACTTCTGTTCAGCTTGATTTCAGGTGGTTTTGAATGATGGTTTTTGTGTAGTTTAGGTGTAATTTTGACGTGGTGTGGGATGATGCCAGTACCACATTTACCTATTTTGCTATCCTGACTGAAGCCTTGTGTTGACCAAATTCTTTAGTGAGTGATATGCACACAATACAGGAAAGTCACTTCTCTGGGTAAGTTGACTCATCATTTCATGTTCATTCATTCACTCAACATTTTATTTATTGCTTACTATCTGCTTGGCAAAGTGGTAAGATTTGGGAATGTAAAGAAAAAGGTCAAGGTCCTGACCTCAAGGAAGCCGCTCAGTCCCTGGGCATGGTGCAACATTCCAAGAGCAAGCAAGCCTAGGGGGCCTTATTTAATAAGAAAACGATGCATATTCTTTCTTCATACTCTAAAATTGCATTTCCACTCCAATGCCCTAAATCAATGACCACAACTAATCTAACCATAGGTCTTCGGCTAATGAACTAGGAATAAGGTTTTGACTAGTCTGACTTTATGACGATTACTGCGGGTTCTTTGCCTTGCCTATCCTTTCGTGGACCACTGAAGTCAGCCTTGAACACAACTCGCCCTGAAAGAGGCTGTGCTGGCATTCTGGAAGTTTATAATTAAGTTCAGTGTTTGCGTGCGGGACTGAGTGGGGAGGGAAACGACCACTAATTATGGAGTTTAGATTGTCAGAGCCTGCTAGGCTTTTAAGTAGCAGAAATACGAGAAGCGGATAAAGCTTTCCTCCTTTTAAAGTAAAAGTTGCACGGGAGTTCCCGGCCAGATCCGGGGAGGGGTGTCCTTGGGGCTCTGGTGGACGCAGGCGGTTCGGACCACCAGGAGCGCTGCCGCCCGCGGGGACTCCGAGGGTCTGGGGCTTCGGTACAGACGCCCTATTCACCGGACCCGAGGCGACAGCGCTCAAGGAAGTGCAATCGGGCTCGCCCCAGGGGAGGACGACTCTCCTCCTTCACTTCCTCCCGCACGGCGGCTCGGCCTCCGGCCGGCTCCACCTCCTCTGCCTCCTCCCCCTGCTGCCGCGGCTCTCGGGCAGGGCGTGCGGCGCTCACCCCCGCAGTCCCGAGCCGAGCGAGGTGAGGGGCCTCCTGCGCCGCTGCCCCGCCTCGCGCCCCACTTTCCCCGCGGCCGCTCCGGAGCTCAGCCCCCTGCCGCCCGGGCACTCGCCGGGAAGCCAGAGGCCCGCCAGTCTCGGCGCGCAGGCGGCGGGCCGCGGGCACCGTGCGCGCCGGGCGGGGTGGTCGCGGCTCGGGGCTCGGCGCTCGGCGCTCGCGCGCACTTCAGCGATGGCTTCTCCGCCCCGGCGGCGGCTTCGCCTTCGCCCCCGCCGCCTCCTGCTCCTGCTCCCGGGATTCCTGCTGCCTCTCTGCGGCGCCTTCAACCTGGACGTGGACAGCCCTGCTGAGTACTCCGGCGCCGAGGGAAGTTACTTCGGCTTCGCGGTGGATTTCTTCGTGCCCAGCGCGTCTTCGTAAGTGCCCGCACCGCGAAGGGGAGTCGGCCCGCGCCCCCGCCGCGCGCACCCACCCCGCGTTTCCCCAGGGGGAGAGATTCTCCCCGAGAGATGCCGGCGTCCGTCTGTCTGTCCGCCCCCCCCCCCCTCGTCCACGGGCTGGTTTAGGTTCTGGGTGGATGAAACAGTTGGGGAGATGAACGCCCGCGACACCCACCACCCAGTTCCCTCCTCTCCAATCCCTAGAGGGAAATTTTTGAAGCCGACCTATGCCTAAAACTCGGGGAAAGTGGAGATCAACAAAGGCTGGTCTGGCGGGACTCCACGCCGCCTCTTCCCAAGTCTGGGATGTGGTCAGTTCATCCCCGAACTTCCTTCTCGGTACCACTTTGCCTTTCCTGGTAGTGATTCTCTGCTTCACAGACTTCAACACCCGTCCTCTTCGTTGTCCCTAAGCAAGCCCTCCCCCACTCTTTCCGCTTTTCAGGCTGATTAGTTTCTCCTCATTACTCCTTTTCCAGACATTCTGATGACTTAAGTGACCATACTGTCATAGAAAATTCATTGTCCCCAATCTCTGGGATGTCAGACCTTTGCACATTTGAGGGTGAACAGATGAATTGAATGTGTCATCTGTTCTTTTTATAGTGATTCATTATTTAGGTCATTGTTCGGAAAGAACAAAGGTCTTTGCCCTAGTGTTCATTCACTACAGGTCATTTAAATAATGCAGTATTTAAGAATCAGTTGTTTTCAAATTCCCAACGTTTTGCGTGCAAATACCTCCAGAATTTGTAACAAACTTACTGCCATTTATTGGACTAAAAGTTGTCTTTGACTTTACCAAACGCTGACATCATTCTTACCATCCCAGCCCCATATTAGTGTCAGAAATACTGATTTAGTAAGTGTTCACTGGATGTCTTTTGATGTTTAAATCTTGTTTTCAAGAGGGAGAACTGTTCTTGGTGTTCTCTCCAGGCTCTTAGAAATTGTAACAACATATTTTTGTTTCTTTTTTTTTTTTTTTAATGTGCTGTTTTGGTGGGTAGAGGGAAGATCATTTTGATCATCAGCATTTAGATAAGACCATTTTTCCAATTTATACATTCCTAATTTGAAGACGATCTAAATAGTGTTCCATGACTGTTAGGACATTCAGCAGGATTTATTCTCATTGTCTTTCTGGATGTTGCAAAATATCACTCATTTTGGTGACAACCATTGTAGCAGTAAATAGGTTGGAAGCAGTTAGTGGAAGCCGCACCTTGTTTTACATAGTGAACTCGATTTTATTTGTTGTTTCTAGCTTCAGTGCGTTCTGTGAGACCCGCACAGATCTTCCAAAAGCAATAAAAATAATCATAAACTTTAGGTGACATTTACTATCTTCTCTTTGATTTAATCATTTTGTCAGCCTTATCTGTTACTTACATTTTTTTTTCCAGATATTCCTAAGTGTCTGCCTTTGTGGTACAGAGGATTTTGGTTGTTGCCAAGGGTGCACTTTTAGATTTAATTTGTACAGAAATTCTGATAATTTTGAAAATATATTGTCTTTTGTCAAGAGTTAGTACTTAGCATGAGTTAGCATTTACATACTTCAAAATTGGTGGAGAATTTTCCATATGTTGCTCTTAATTCAGTGGCAACCCTCTGAGTTTAGAAGTATAAAGATACATGACAAGATGAGAACCTTTAAGTGTTTTTACCACGGGAAGTGCAGTAATACTGAACTGTTGACATGAGATATTTACTGTTTTTGGTTAGGAAGCTGGATGACTAATCTTTGATTAGTCATTGTAGTGGATGTCTATGCTATGACCTCACAGGTTTACACTATCTCCCACGTGGGCCTTCAAGGGTAGGTAAAATTGAACTTGGTTTGATTTCATATACTGTTTTGAAATCTTCATCAGTGACTTTGTTACTGATAGACTAGTGAGCTCCAGGTATAGCCTAACTTAAAAAATAGAAATCAGCCCTGGCCAGTTTGGCTCAACGGTTAGAGCGTCGGCCTGCGGTCCGGAGAGACCCGGGTTCGGTTCCCGCTAAGGGCACGTGCTTCGGTTGCAGTTTGTCCCCGGCCCTGGCTGGTCGTGCGGGTGGCAGCCACTCGATGTGTCCCTTCACGTCGATGTTTCTCACTCTCTCTCTCTCTCCCTCCCCCTCTATCTGTACAAAAAATGGAAAAATGTCCTCGGGTGAGGATAAAAAAAAAAATAGAAATCAACTTTGAGTTTTAAAAAAGAAACAAAATTTATGTAAACAAAAGTTTCTACTTTTTTGAGTTTTTCAGATGTAAAAAAGATTAATGGAAAATTATGCTTTATTTTGTAAAAAGACACTTTAAAATGTAGCAATCCTTGGAATCCAAGGTGCATGGGATGCCATTTATAATACCACCACCTGCATTATTGTAGTTGTTTAGTGTGATCATAAACTTAAAGAAAAAAAAATCCACATAATAAAAAAGTGTTTAGGATTCCTTTCCTTTGAAAGAAGAATGCCTGGACTAATGAGGAAGCAATGGTAATAAAGTCTCTCCGGTAATAAAGTCTGCCCTCGCAGCTTCCAGTTTCTGCAGGTGTCTAAATACCTCCGGCAAGTTGTTGAATTGTTTTATGTCTAATTTTGCTTGTCATAGAAAATTGTTATTGAATTATTTCCATATTGTTGTAAAAATTAATGAATTAATGTTTATTGAAGAAAAGGAAAATTAAACACTCATCAAAAATATTAGGGTGACTCCAAGAAAATCCTTCAGAAATGAGTTTTAAGTATGAAATAAAAAGTCACAAAAATACTGATTTAAAAATTATATAAAATAAAAGTAAAAATAAAAAAAATTTCATACATTTTTCCTATATGCATTAATTTATGATGGTCATATTGCCAAATTTATAAAATGTAAATATCACATACAAGCCAAGAAATAAAGTCATGTTTTTCTTGTGGAGAATAATTGGAGAAATTAAAAATTGCACCCTAGGTTTAATTATAATAATTCATTACATTGGCTGACCTACTTTATAGTTTACAAAGCACCTTTACTCATGGTATTTCATTTCAATCTGTAGCACAAACCACCAGGGAAGTAGGGAAGCAGATACACTCTTTCTCATAGATGAGGAAGCTGAGGCCAGAAGAGCTTGCAGGCTTTAGTTGTTTAAGTGGGTTAGTGTGTGGGGTAGTGGGCCAGGTGTGATTAAAAGAGACATGGTATGGAATTCAGTTTTCATTTAATTTTTATATTCAACTTTAAAAATTTTAAGAAGAAAATAATTGAATAATTTTCTTATTCTTCAACTATGTTGTGTTACAGTTCTCATTATACATATTTATTTTAATTTTAATTTTATTTTTTTATATTTCTTATTGATTTTAGAGAGAGAGGAAGGGAGAGAGAGAGAAAGAGAGAGAAACATTGATGAGAGAGAACATCGATTGGCCGCCTCCTGCATGCCCCCCACTGGGAATTGGGCCTACAACCTGGGCATGTGCTATGACCTGGAATCGAACCAGCGACCTCTTGGTGCATGGGTCAGAGCTCAATCACTGAGCTACACTGGCTGGGCACATATATATTTATTTTTAAATAATGCTATGATGAATTCTTGTCTTTGCCCCTATTAAACACTAATGGTGACTTCTTTACAGTTACTTCGTGTTTTTTTTGTTTTTTTTTTATCCTCACCCAAGGACATTTTTCCATTTTTTGTACAGATAGAGTGGGAGGGAGAGAGAGGAAGAGAGAGAGAGAGAGAAACATCGATGTGAAAGGGACACATCGAGTGGCTGCCACCCGCACGACCAGCCAGGGCCGGGGACAAACTGCAACCGAAGTACGTGCCCTTAGCGGGAACCGAACCCGGGTCTCTTCGGACCGCAGGCCGATGCTCTAACCGCTGAGCCAAACTGACCAGGGCTACTTCGTGTTTTTATGACCCCAAAGGCAAAGTGTAGGTGAGTGTGTCCTGGTCACACAAGGTCTTGCAGAATGTTTAGTGGTTCTCAGTCCGAACACCTGAGCTTTTACAATAAAGCCTCTGCCCTGGCTGCATCTTAGATCCAAAAGTAGACCTCTGACTTGGTATTCCAACAGCCTGGGGGTCATTTCTCCTCAACTAGCCCATCTTAATCTCAATCTGATGAAAAATGAACCCCTTTTCACTAAGAAATGTCAGTTATACCTTTATTTTTATTAATGGTGCCATCGTTGTCTCTGTCGCCTGGGAAATAATTTCATATTCCTCCCTCTCATTTTCTATTTTTCTTTGTTTCTATAACTGCACCCTCCTAATATTAGTCAGTGATTAGTCACCAGTCAGAAGGTCCTAGAAATTCTTCCTTGTTAATGCTCTTGCTTCCACCTCTGCTTTCCACTTCGGCCACCACCTCCTTGTTTCAGCCCAGTCATCACAAGTGGGGTCTGTGGCACTCACCCCTTTGCCCACCATTTGGCTCTTAAACCTGCAAAATATCTCACAGGTTTCTGATAATCTAGTCTTTCTGAAACATCTTTTTGATCATGGTATTTGGCTGCTGAAATTTCCTCAACGGTGTTTCCCAAGGCTAGAGAGATAGACCAAATTGCTTAATTTGGATGAAGGCCCCTTTCAGTCTGCCCTAATCTGCATGTACGTTTAAAAGTTCACATCCCATTTCTCCCCTCACCATTGTAACCATCTTCACAACTCTCGACAAAATGACGCCAGCTCATTTTCATGAATTTTAGTGTGACTCTGGCTATATTGTTTTTTTTTTTTTTCTTGCTGTAAACAATAACATGCATAGACTATAGCCTTATTATTTAGAAATTAAATCCTATGTTGATTACTCCTGATTAAAGCCCAAGGTTTATAGGACATTATAAAAGAGAAGTGAAAAATGTATAGAATGTATATTCACATCTGTTTTACATCATAAATGTGTTGACTGTAGCATTTTCTAAATGAAAAGCAAATAGCTTGAAATAACATTCTGTTCTAAAATTTTATACACATTTATTTTTATAAAATATGTGGTAATTTTCAGAAGTTCCTTTTGGTGAAAGCTCATTGGTTAATGCAGAGTCAGCCAAGTATATTAAACATGCTTTATCTTGGAGAGAGAAGTCAGTGCTGAAAGCAGCCAAATAACTTAGTTCATTTGGAGGGTTTAAAAAATGTACTTGTCATTGTTTGGCTGGTTGCTTCTCCTTGGTAGTCAAGGTCACATTCCCTGAAGCAGCTGCCCTTAAAGTAACACTTTGTGTAGAAAGTGCACCGGAAGGGCATCCTTCTCTTTGGTTTCTTTAATCCTCTTGTTTGTGTCTCCTTCCCTGTCTTCCTCTCCATCATTCTGTGCCTCCCGCTTTCCCATCTCCCTATCCTTCCCCTCCATCCCCCTTCCTCCTTTTTCCACCCCTAAGCCCTGCCCCCCACCCCAGACCCTAAGTACACACACTTGGCCCTTTACCTTTTAGCATTTCTTGGCATGATATTAACAGCCTGTTTATGTATGTACACCTTAATTTTGAAGTTATTTGATGGAAATGTCTCAAGTCTTTTAAAAAGAATGGTGAGGATGGGGATCCTGATACTGTTCTTGGACAACATTTTTTGAGGGAGATGGAGTCTGTCAGGAGGAAGTTGCAGGCATAGGAAACTAAATTGGCTGGGCTTCTGATTTTTGCTGCTGATCAGTGAAATCTGTCAGCCTCAACTAACCCTGTGTATCTTCCCCAAGTCTCCACCATTGTCAGGAAGTATTGCAAGCCAACTGTTTCCTACTCTTCATTTCTCCTTGAGATTTTGCATTTGAGTTAATTAATGGCCCTTCAAGAAAACCAAGGCAAGAAAAACACTTTTTTTTTTTTTATCCTCACCCGAGGACATTTTTCCATTTTTTGTTCAGCTAGAGCGGGAAGGAGAGAGAGGAAGAGAGAGAGAGAGAGAAACATCGATGTGAAGGGACACATCGAGTGGCTGCCACCCGCATGACCAACCAGGGCCGGGGACAAACTGCAACCGAGGTACATGCCCTTAGCGGGAACCGAACCCAGGTCTCTCCGGACCACAGGCCGACGCTCTAACCGCTGAGCCAAACTGGCCAGGGCAGAAAAACACTTTTAAAAATAGATTTTAACTTTTATATCTCCTATCTTATTAGAGAGTATTTTATTAATTGCTGCTTTTAGTCCTGATGCCATTATCTTGTGTTTTTATGATGCTTTCAGATGTTCTAAGTGTGCTTTTAGCAATTATCCACATTCTGAAAATTTATTTTGTAGGTAATTATAGTTGGCATTGTTATCTTCATTCAAAAGAAGAGGAAACAGACTCAGAGATTTAAAATGACTTTCTCAATTGATTTATATAGTGATTGTAACTTTTAGTCCCAAATTGTGTTCCTTAGACAATGCTGCTTGTATTGCAAACATTTTTTTTTTTTTTTCTGGTCTGTCACTTCTGTTACTCTAATTAAACTGTTGTAGACATTCATTAGATAGTCTTGGATGAACTTCATGTAACAATTATTTAATTTTCTATAAAGTGTTTCATTAACAGACTTTTGTTGTTATTGTGTCAAAAAACACATGGCATAAAATTCACCCTCCCAACACATTTAATAGGCTTTTGTTTTCTGTAATTTGTGTTGTTTTTATATTCCTGCATTTTCTCAGCATCTTTTACCACACTGTATCCTTTGTTCTAGACACATATTTAATTTTCCTCTAGACAACTCCCTCTTAAGACTTTAACATTTGTCTTAAGGCAATTTTACTTTCTCCATCTCTCCATTTTTCTTTCTCATTTTTAAAAACTTTCTGTGATACTCTTAAAAGTAACTTAAATAACATGTTGACATTTTAGACAAATAACTTTATTCCTCACCTTCTTTTCCCCCCATTAACCTAGCATTTAGGAACTGACCGTGCTCACACATTCCTTTTATGTTATTCTGCCATTTCTGTAGCATTTCACCAGTGTACAAGACTGCACATGAAGGTATGCGTAGGAAAACTTGATGCTTAGTACATCTAATTACCATCATTTCATGCTTATAATGTGCAAATGGTCTGATGAAAAGCAGCCTTGTTCTTGGTCTTATCCACGGAATTCAGGCTGCAGTTTCCATTCAGAACTCCGTCCCCTAGTGACTTCCCAGACCTCTCTGTCTTATAGTGCCAAGAAAAGAAAGTATCTGAAATCCAAAATAAAATAATTTTACTGATAACTTAAATAATTGATTGTTTATTAAAAGATGATTTCCTCATATTCTAGAGGTGTTGGGGATAGTGGAAATGGCTTATTTATATATGGCTATTTTAAGTTGAACGCCCGTAGCTATCAAATTTACTTGCTACTGGGCTGTTAATTTAAAAAACTTTTCTTGAATGCTTGTTATGTGGCAGGGACAAAGATGAATTAGAGTCCTCTACATTCAAGGGAGTCATTTATTGTACAGTGGGGAGAAAAGCGTTGATAAAAATGTGTAAATGATTGTGTAATGTGGTATGTGATGACAGTCCAGAAGTGAATTTTGCTTGTAGGGATTTAGGCATATTCTGAGAAACAACTCTCCTGACCTTATCTCCTGGAACCTGACCATTATCCACAACACTGCATTCCTATGCATACCTGTGCTTGTATCACGTTTATTAGGACTGGTGCAGAAATGCCCCTCCTCCTTTTTACATGTACACCCGAAAAATACAGTTGTCTGAAATGTTCTTTTTTCCCATCATGCACTCAAAAGTAATTCAGTTCACATGAAGAGGGGAAGTTTTATGGCACATTTTTTAACCTGTCGAAATAAAAAACATTCGTGTATATACAAAATTATGTCTTTTTTTTTTTTTGGTACTTGCTCCTTACAAGAACCGAACCCGGGACTCTCTGGTCCGCAGGCCGACGCTCCAACCGCTGAGCCAAACCGGCCAGGGCTATATACAAAATTAAGCTCTTACCCAGCTCTGCTGTAGAAAAGGAGAGCGCATGAGGGCTCTCTTATAGTCCAATTTTTTTTTCTTATGAAAGGTTCTTGCTGAATGGAAACTAAGTTGATTTTTTATCCAGAGGCATTTGGCTGTGATGAGAGAGTTGCCAGCATTGGTGTTTTACTGATGCCAAATATGACTGCATAAAGCTTTATTAAATAGGGTGTGGTTTAGTTGGAAATTTTGTCTATTTTGAGTATGGAGTTTTCAGATTAAAGTCGTAGAGCAGGATTTTCATAATGTAGCAAGTCACACAACCAGCTCTTGAACACTCTAAACATGACTTGGCAGATACCACCCACAAAAAATGAAATCGGAATGGACAAATCAAAGTTAAAATGAATGCATTCCATATAAGATTACCCACGTGAGAACATCCAAACCTGTAGAAAATTTTAATAAATATTTACTTGAGCCAAACAGGATATGCCTGAAGCAAGATCTCAACAGACTGAGTAAAATGCTTCCTAGAATGGCATCTTGCAGCCCTTTTTATGACTTTTGAATTGAGAAGGTAACATTAGGAAGATTACACGAAGGTGGGAGAGAGCAAGGCAGGGATTGGATTACAGGGTCATGGACAAGATGATGTGCTCTCTTGAGGGTGGTTTCCATTCTGAGAAGTCTGCAAGGGGGCATTTCAAAGGCCTTATCCTAGCTGCACAAAAGCAATGGATGGGGCTTGCCTGAGGGACAGATATACCTTTTACTAAAGAAGTTAAATGACTGGGGTGTGACCGTCCACCATTACCTGCCCACTTGGGAATTTATGAACAGTTCATCCTGTGAAGTTTCATTTTGGTCACTAGATTTCTCAAATTTTTTGTAAAGCCCCCTTTTTCCTCCACCATAGTCAAGAACTAGAGACAAGATCTCTTTTACTTAAAAATTTGACTCCTGATGACTTTGTCTTCTGAGAATTTTACCCTGATAAGAAGTTGAAGCCCTGGCCGGAGTGGTTCAGTGATTAGAGCACTGGCCTGCGCACCGATGGGCATGGGTTTGATTCCCTGTCAAGGACATGTACCTGGATTGCAGGTTTGATCCCAGGCCCCAGTCAGGGCGGGTGAGGGAGGCAGCTAATAATCATTTTGTCTCTCTCACATTGATGTCTCTCTCTCCCCCTTTCCCTCTCCATCGCCCTCTCTCTCTCCCCCTCCATCCCTTCCACTCTCTCTCTCAAAAAAAAAACCAGTGGAAAAAATATCCTCTGGTGAGGATTAATAAAAAAAATAAATAAATTGAATATGATTAGATTAATGTGAGGAGAGATTTGTTAGTCACTATTCTTTTAAAAATTGAAGTACAATAGTTATAAAACAAGTCTTACAAATGGAAAAATGATACTATTTAGAACTACCATACTTCAGAATTGTTTATTTAGAATCATTTTTTAATTCAGCAATCAGGATATAGAAAGCGTATAGCAAAACACACACACACACAAAACAAAAAACAAAACAAAAAAATCAAAACAAATCCATGACTCTAGCCAGGCTACATTTTTAATAGCTGTAGTGAGATATAATTGACATATAATAAGCTGTACCTATTTAAATTTGACCAGCACACATTTTTAAATGACTTGTAACCCTGAAGTTGCCTTATAATATGTTCTTAGGATGAATAAATGATATTGAGTAATGTATGTATGTAAGAGAGCACCAGATGAATAATGAATATTATGTCCTCAGTGAATAGTTTTAAAAATATGTATTTGTGGATAATATCAAAAGAATGATTGCTGTTTCTAAATCATACGATACTTTTTTTTGCTTTGTGCCATTTTGAAAATCTTATTTTCTCTTTTGTATTCTAGCAGGATGTTTCTTCTGGTGGGAGCACCCAAAGCAAACACTACCCAGCCTGGGATTGTAGAAGGAGGGCAAGTCCTCAAGTGTGATTGGTCTTCTCACCGCAGGTGCCAGCCAATTGAATTTGATGCAACAGGTAAATGTTCATGCAGTAGCCACTTTTTTATGTTGTCATTTGATTTTTTTAAGATAACAATTTTTAAAAGTACTTGCTTTAGTTTAAGTGTAAAAATTTAATGAAATACGATATGTAAGATCTGTGCAGATCCCCAGAGGAAATTATATCAAGACAAATGACATATTATATGATTTTCCCCCCCTACAATTTTGTGGCATATAAAAGCATTAAAAATACATTGCATTTCTACTGCTTTGGATATCTTCAACTTTAAACTGATGTCAGCCTACAGATACTTGGGGAAAATCTATTGAAATGTTTTTGTACGTCTTCTGAGAAGAGGGAGTTCATAGATACAGCAAGGTTTTCTGTCCTTCCTCTTTGGCAGAATTGAAGCTTGACTCACTGACAGCTGTAGAAGACCCCTGTCTAACCATGCATACACCTGGGCCTGGAGTTGTGCCACCAGAGCCAATTGAGGAGTCTTTTGCATTCCAGTAGATGTGGTTTACTTTAAAAAACGTTTATCCAGCCCTGGCCAGTTTGGCTTAGCGGCTGGGCATTGGCCTGTGGACCAGAGAGTCCCGGGTTCGGTTCCTGCTAGGGGCACATACCATAAAAAAAAAATTATTATCCAAAATGTATTTGGAACATTAGGTGTTATGGTTCTGATAACATTAGAATTTTATCTACAGGGACAAATTTTAGTGTCAGTCAGGATTGTGTTAGGGGAAAAATAGCGGGAGGAAGATGAGAAATAAGAAATAACAAGTTTTACATTTCGATTGGTGAAATAAAAAACATATAATCCTGCACACATTTGTATTGGTATATTTATATATATTTGTGAAAGCTTAGAGAAGCCTCAGAAAGAGTAGTGTGACATTCTTCAGGTGCAATGTTTTTATCAATTTTTCAAATGATTCTGGCTCGCTGGCTTTAATAGACTATTTTAAGATAAGCCTGAAGAAAATTAATTATTTTTCCCATATTATTGTTTTCTGCTGCTTCTAATATATATTCATTCTGGGAATTATAGTGTCAATGAAGCGGGAATTATGATGTGGACTGTTTTTTCCACTGACATCGCGATCAGTGCCAAAATGAGCGTCAGTCATTAAACCAACTCTTATAGGAATCAGGTCACATGTTTGTTTTTTTTCCATTTGAAACCATCTGCATTAAGCCCTGTTGTTTTTTCCATATATGGCTGACATTTGGAAAACCCCAAGAGTGTGTAATTAGGCTCAGGTTTACCACAAATGGAGCAAGACCTGTGATACGGAATATTATGGGTCAGGACCCGGGCTCACTCCCCACAGCAGAGCCCCCCCAGGCCCCCCCCAAAAATATTATGGGTTAGGACATTTGTGTCTTCTAACTAAATACGATTACTAACAAGATGAAACTGTAGTTCAGTTTTGATAGTTTGAACTGTTCAGATATGTTTTCGATTTCAACACCATAGGTTTTTGTGTAGTGCAAGATAGTTTATTACTGGTCCTTTTTGAAATTTGGCTGTCTTTCTTTCTTTCTTTCTTTCTTTCTTTCTTTCTTATCCTCAAATGTCCATTTTTTGTTCAGATAGAGTAGGAGGGAGAGAGAGAGAGAGAAACATCAACGTGAAAGGGACACATTGAGTGGTTGCCACCTGCACAACCCAACCAGGGCCGGGGACAAACTGCAACCGAGGTACGTGTTCTTAGAGGGAACCAAACCCGGATCTCTCTGGACCACAGGCCGACGCTCTAACCACTGAGCCAGACTGACCAGGGCTGAAATTTGGCTTTATATAATAATTTTGTTTATTGAAATAATTGCACTTGGTAGAAAAAATTTCAAGCAATGCAAAAGTGTATGGAAAATAGGACTATCTTACATCAGCCTGCTCACAGGCAATCACTCTGAACAATATTTTTGATCCTAGAATTTTCATGCCTGTCAAAAAAAGGAACTCCCAAATAGGAATATACTAAATATACTGTTAGGCCCCTGACTCCCCCCACTCCTACTCCATATCTAACAATATAAATCTCTTGTTTATCTTTCCATATAGATATTTATTGATTTGCCTCATTCTTTGCAAATCACTGATAGTATTGTATATGTAGCCCAGTTTATTCTACTCATATTTCTTACTGATGGACACTTAGGTTCTTTCCAGTCTCTTGTTACTATAGATGCTGCTACAGTGAAAAGCTTATACACCAATATTTGTGTATATGTAAGTAGTGTGTAGGATAAAGTTCTAGCATGGGATTTTTAGATTAAAAAATATATATATATATGTGTGTGTGTGTATATATATATATGTGTGTATATATGTGTATATGTATGTGTGTATATATATTAAAGTTTTGATAGCTAACTGCAAATTTTTCTTCACAAGGTTTATACCCCTCCAGTTACTGACACCCATGTCAATACCAATCATCACCATATTGTTTATCTTTGTCAATTTTATATTGTTATAGTATTATTATCTTTATGTGTATAACATATATAATGTTACTATATTGTTTTATGTTGTTATATTAATTTGCATTCCTTTAATTAACAGTGAGACTAAGCACTTTTGCATTTGTAAGCCATAATACTTCTTTTAAAAAATTTTTTTTTCTTTATTGATTTTAGAGAGAGAGAAAGGGAGAAGGACAGAGAGATGGAAACATCGATGAGAGAGAACATCGATTGGCCGCCTCCTGCATGCCCCCCACTGGGGATTTGGCTCACAACCTGGGCATGTGCCCTGACTGGGAATTGAACTGGTGACCTCTTGGTGCCTGGGTCGATGCTCAACCACTGAGCCACACCAGCTGGGAAACCCTGGTACTTCTTTTCCTGATATTTGCACGTATTTTGTATTGATTTGTGAATTTAAAAAATGAATCTCAGTGGACAACACTCCATCCTTTCAGTTGCTTAGGCCAAAATCTGGGCTTATGCCTGACGATAGATTTGTCCACCAGTCAAAAATCTTACTGCGTCTTGTTATTCTGCTGCTAACATTTTCGTCTGAGCCTCCATGGTCTCTTACCTGGACTGTTGCCCTGGACTCCTGAATAAGTCAGGGTGCTGCCCGGAAAGGGTGGCACCCTTAAATTAGGGTAGTTTGAGGAGCTTTTAGTAAAGGACTGTTTACAAAGGATTGTGCAGGGTCTCACGGTTCAGTAGTGCCTAGTCACTAGTTAAAAACTGGCCTCTGGGCCTGAAGGGAGCGGCTGCCAGAATCCAGACAAAGGGAAAGTGGAGAGAGCCACGGGACAGGAGCTGTGGCTATCGTCAGAGAGCAGTAGCCAGCCCGAAGGGGCCGGAAGGGAGGAGTAGGGGAATAAAACCCTGACTTCACTCTGCTTCCTCCTTTTGATCTGCTGTACCTGCTCCCCACGGGCTGAATCCAGCTGGGAACCGGAGGCATGGCAGTGCATGTGTTCATACTGGTCAGCCTCCTGGGCAAAGAGCAGGCTGCAGAATGGTACACAGGAAACCTGAGGGCAGTGGCAGGGAGCCCACACACCTCACTGTTCTTTTTACTTCTGCCCTGGATACCCCCTGATTTTTCTCTACAGCAGCCAAAGCGATCCTTTATAAATATTCAGATCATAGCACTCCAGCCGAGATCCCACCCATATCCTCCCATCTATCTAGTAGCCGAGAGGATGCTGAGTATTCCAGCCCACTATTTCTATCTGAATCTTCCTCTTCTTTTTTTATCCTCACCTGAGGACAGTTTTGCATTTATCTTCAGAGAGAGCAGGAGGGAGAGAGAGAGAAACATCGATGTGAGAGAGACACATTGACTGGCCGGCTGCCACCCACACCACCCCAGCCGGGGCTGGGGACAAACTGCAACCGAGGTACATGCCCTTAGCAGGAACTGAACCCGGGACTCTGGTCTGCGGGCCGACGCTCTAACTGCTGAGCAAAATTGGCCAGCACTGAACCTTCCTCTTCTACTGTTCTCCCCACCTTCACTCTCTTCTGGCCTCACGGGCTGTCTTTGCAGTGGCCTGTAAACACTAGGTACACCTCCACCTCCTCTTTGCCTGGGTTGTTTCCTCTGCCTGGAGCATTGTTTTCCCGAATGTACATTGGGTCCCCTCTCCACACCTCCTTTGAGAATTACTTCAATGTCATCTTCTCAGTAGTGCGCTGATCATCTCATTTAAAATCGCAGTCCCCGCCCTGGCCGGTTTCGCTCAGCGGTTAGAGCGTCGGCCTGCGGTCTGGAGAGACCCGGGTTTGGTTCCCACTAAGGGCATGTACCTCGGTTGCAGTTTGTCCCCGGCCCTGGTTGGTCGTGCGGGTGGCAGCCACTCGATGTGTCCCTTTCACATCGATGTTTCTCTCTCTCTCTCCCTCCTGCTCTATCTGAACAAAGAATGAAAAAGTGTCCTCGGGTGAGGATAAAAAAAAAAAAAAAAAAAAAATTGCAGTCCCCTTTGCCACCTTGTGTTCCCATCCTCCTCTCTGGTTTACTTTTCACTGTAGTGCTCACATTGCTGTATGCCATTTATTTTTAATTATTAGTGTCTCTTAACAAATAAGTGCCATGAGGATACTTTTTTTATCTTGTTCAGCGCTGAAACCTCTGGGCCTAGAACAATGCCCCGTGCCGGTACCAGTTGGTGCCCAATAAATTGAATAGCTGATGAATGAATGAATCATAAGAGCTTTTTCTATAGTGAAGAAATAACTAAAGTCCATTAGTTATATATGTACAATTATGTATTTTTTGTTCTATTCTTTTGTGTCCTTGCTTATGATATTTCCGTAATTATCTTGTATAACTTCAGAGCCTTCTCTTACGAAAAGAATATACAAATTAAGACTTCATTTTTTTACATTAGAGTTTTTATCCAAATAGTGTTTTAAGAATTTAAGGAAAGAGGACGATATAGATTTCAGTAATCAAGCCTTGAGAATGTCTATCTAGAAACAGCACTGGTAGACTGAGTCTTGACTTTATGTAACAAATGCTTAGAATTTAGAACGACCTCTTCAACTTTCTTCAACCTCTGTCCCTAGGAGCCATCGCCCCACCCTAGGCCAAACACAGAAACATCTCTGCTCCACAACTCTTTTTGATCTTTTCCATTATCTCTGGAGATGATGTTGTTTCTCTAATTCTTTCCCTTATCTCAGTCTTGACCTTAGCTGAGTGGTTGATAAGTGTGGTTTCTGGAGGCAAACTGCCTGGGGTTCAAACCCTGGCCCTGCCATTTACTTGGTTACTGCCATCTCCCTGAGGCCGTGTCCTTAGCACACTTTCTGCATAGGTATGCCTTAAACGAATGAGTTGATTTATGGATCATGGCAAGTGCTTAATTCAGGGATAGGCCCTTTGCAGTGGCTCAGTAAATGTAAGCTGTTTTATATTGTTATGACTTCCGCCCGTCTCAGGTACTCTGACTATTTCTTCATTTATTCTAGTTCTGTATTAATACATTGGCTCTTTTTCTTTTTTAAAAAAATTTTAATTTTTTTACAATTTTTTTTTCTTTATTGATTTTTAGAGGGAGGGAGAAACATCGATGAGAGAGAACACCGATTGGCCGCCTCTGGCATGCCCTGCACTGGGGGATTTGGTCCATAACCTGCGCATGTGCCCTGACCAGGAATCGAACCATTGAGCTACACTGGCGGGGCTCCTTTTTTAAAAAAAAACAAAAAACTTTCCAACATGCTTCACATTTTTCTACCTGAAAAACTCATCAAAACCACTTTCCCTTGAACTTGTGTCTTCTCTGAGTCATTTTCCTTTCTCCTTCTCTTCACATCCAAAATATTCAATGTGGTGCCTCTTCATTACTTCTCACGTTTATCCATTTCAGTGGAGCAGCGGCCTATGCCCCGCCCAGCCGTGGCCCTGGCTGCAATCGTCCAGTGGACACTTCTGATCCCTCATCTTACTGAATCTCCTACAGTTTGCCCCACTGACCATTCCTTCCCTATTTAAAGTCCCTGCTATTTGTTGGCAACTCCCCTGCCCCCTTATTCCTCCTGATTTCCTTGATACTCATGTAGAGTTTGCCCTTTGACTCTTCTTTCTTCCCTCACTCCCTGTTTGCTAGACGTCATGATGTCATGAAAAAGAACTAGGCCTTGGAGGCAGACAGACTTGGGTTCAAATTGAGGCTCTGTCATTTTTCCAGTGTTATTTTGGGAAAATTACCTACCTTTCTGTATTCCACACTACATTTCTGGGGTGATCAAGAAGAGTTGGCGGACCCGAAACCCGCAAAGCTGCTCAGCCATGGGTGCCCCCGGCGGGAAGATCAGCCGGCCCCGGTCGGAGCTGAAGAAGGAACTGTTCAAGCGATGGAGGGTGTTGAACCGGGAGCGGCGACTGAAGCACCAGGTGGTCGGGGCCATGATAGACGAAGGGCTCACCACGCGGCCCCCCCTCAAGCGCGCGTCCAGTGCACGTGCCAGCATCACTCTGTCTGGGAAGAAGCGCAGAAAACTCCTGCAGCAGATGCGGCTTGCCCAGCAAGAGAAAGCGGCCATGGAAGTGGAGGCCTCTGCAAAGCCAGCCAGGACTACTGAACCGAAGCCCAAATCACAGAAGAAGACAAAAGCCCCCCAGGATGTAGATATGGAGGACCTTGAAGATGGAAGCTAAATCATACCCCTTTAACCAGAAGATTCTCACCCGCAGCCAGGAGGACTCAGTGGTGGTTTTAGAAGACTTTGGAGCAAACACTGAACCTTTCACTCTCCCCAGATTCCTCTTCCACAGTGGCCTAGTGACCTGCCGTGGAGGGATGTGTTGAGAGGGAGAATGGAAAAGAAGGATCAGAGAGGTGGCTCCTTAGCAGTCAACTCCATTTGTAATAAAGCCCGAGAATCCTCTAAAAAAAAAAAGAGTTAAAATTAGTTGATTGTCTGCTTTACTTTATTGTGTTTCTGAGTTCAGAAGAGACTTTAATGTTTCCAGGGGTTCCATTCGTTTTTTAAACTTGGGAAACAAAATTTATAAAATTATTTTACTTAAATTAGCTCTGATTTATGTGATGTGGTAGATACTACAGCTATTCATATTGTGTTTCTAAAATTTCTGGGAAAACCCTTGAATTTAGGTATGCCCATGTGACTTTTTTTTAAGCCAATAAAACATGAGCAGAAGTGTGCAATTTGTGGACAGAAGGGTTTAAGAGTTGGGGCATTGTTCTGGTTAGTGATAGTTTGAATGATAGAGCCTCCATCAGCCTGGGTGCCAGAGTGAGGAAGACATGAAGCATAGATTCTTACTGACCCACAATATATGTGTACAAAATAATTTTTTGTTATTTTTGACTAATGGATTTTGGAGATGTTTGTTACTCCATCAAAATGCAACCTAACTGAATAGCTTGGGGTTGCCAAAAGTAGGTTTACAGTTGTGAGTACATGAAACATAGAGTTTATGTTTGCATTATTATTTATTAATTATTGTGTTATTTATTTATATTACAACTGTAAACCTACTTTTGCCCACCCCTGGACATACAGGGATATTATAATTGTATATTATCAAGTTGGCTGTTGGGAAGTGGTTATTAAAAGCCTTTCCTATTCTACATGACAATTTGATCTTCTGTTAAGTTTCTTGTTCTGTTTTACTGGGTCATGAGTGGCTAAGCAACTAGGTAGTATTACTTAAGCCAAAAATGGCTTCTTGTTGGTTAGTTGCATTTAGACTTTGGGAAACCATAAGTAGATGGTAAGTACTGGACAGGGATGCTGTAGCCTTGGGGTTCCTTGAGTATAGTGACTCTTGTCACTGGCAAGTTCCTTGCAGGAACCTTGACAGCTAGTGATAGCTACAGAATCATTACAAGAGATGTCATTCCGCGAGACAGGAGGCTTTGAGCCAGGATGGCTTTGCTATCCACTAGATCTTGTTTCTTCTGAGCTGTCATCTGGTGAGGCAAAGAGGAGAGTTCTGGACAGCTGTGTGTACTGCTGCACAGGAAGTTCATATAAGGACTCTTGTCAAGGAGGTATGTCTGGTTCTGTCCTGCATCCTCTAAATAGACTGGTGCTACGTGTGGCCTTTGGTCGTTTGTTCGTCTGAAAGTTCAGTTGAGTCATGAGAAGCCCTCCAACGGTTGTTGGGTCAACATCTGAAGTCTGTAACTGTGCGAAGTCCTTTTGGCTCATTTGTTTCTTGGGCTGTTTCTCTGTAGGACAAAAACAGAACAGTGACTCTCCTTTCCTGTAACAAGAGCAGACCTCAGCTAGCTTTGGAATCACAATAAAAATTTTTATAGTAAGGCTCTTTTAAATGATTGTTGTTAAATATTATGAAGAGTTCTTTCCCACTCCCCTCATCTTTCTTGTAGGTCAGCTTCTGGCTGAACAGGCAGTCTTAGTGCAGAGTACAGCTCTTTTTCCTCATTAAGCTGCAATTTATGTTTCTTTCTTTTTTCTGCTTATCTTAGATATATTTGTTTTCCTGACTAGGTTGTAAGCTTTCCAAAGCAGGGAACACATTTATTTCTGCTCACCATTGTGTGACATATGATAGATCGCATATGTGCGTATATTCTATGCAGGTGTTGGGTTCTTCGTGAAAAGCAATAAAAACAGACTCTAGCTAAATTTAGCGGAAGAGAAATTTACTGGAAGTGTATTGGTAACTCACCCGTTTTCTGAAAAATGGACTGGAACCAAGTGAAATGAACAGAGGAAGAAACCATTAGTGCTGGGTTTACTGCTGCTGGAACTGGTATTGCTAACTGGGGATACATCATGAGAATAGGTTCCATCCCTGCCTCTGCCTCACTTGGCTGGAGACTCAAAGCTTTTACGGTAGTATCTGACTGTTGGGTTTGTCGCGTGCCGTTGAAGGTAAGGGGAAGCCTCTTATCTCACGCAACTAAGAAATGTTAGATTATGAACTTGTGTAGGGAACTAAAGCTGAGGGTCCTTCAAAAGAAAAAAAGAGAAGGAATAATAGTGTGCCTCTTTCTCTTTTTGGTTGGAAAACCAGGTAGCAGAAAGAAAGCATCCTTTATGAGTACAATGTGTATTTGTTGATTAATAATTCACGGACTAATTTTACTTCCCCCAAGGTGCACCTGGATACTAGACAGTGTATAATTTATTAGAAGGCCATTTCACTGTGGCTGGTTTACATGCAGTAAGGCATGTATTAGGGGCTAAGGAAGAAAGTCTGGATTTTGATTTGAAGGTAGCATAACACTTAGTTTCTTAGCTCTTAAAGAAGAAAGATGTGCTTTTCTTCCTACCCAAGGCATGATTTTGGGTAGTGGGGGGGAAGGGAAGGTTTCGAAAATATGTTTGGAAAACCAATCTAAATTTATTTTACTTTAACTCTGAGCAGTAGAAACAAGTAGATTTATACCAAAAGGAAGGAGGCATAACCGGAAAGTATCTTAACTCTGGGTCCTTTGAGGAAAACCTCCCAGATTAGTTGGTGACATTTGAGCTAGCTAATGAAAAATGAGATGGAGCCCTGGCTGGTTTTGCTCAGTGGTTAGAGTGTCGGCCCGTGGACAGGAGAGTCCTGGGTTCAGATTCCGCTAAGGGCATGTACCTTGGTTGCAGTTTGTCCCTGGCCCCTGTTGGGGTCATGTGGGTGGCAACCACTGGATGCGTCTCTCTCACATTGATGTTTCTCTCTCTCTTCCTCCCTCACTCCCTCCCGCTCTATCTGAAGATAAATGCAAAAATGTCCTTGGGTGAGGATAAAAAAAAAAAAACAAGTTGGAATTCACTGGATGTGGAAGACGGGTCCAGGTAGAGGAAACAGTTTTTTTTTTTTAATCCTCACCAAGGATATGTTTTATTGATTTTAGAGAGAAAGGAAGGGAGTTGGGGGAGGGGGAGAAAGAGAGGGGAGAAGACATCAATGTGAGAGAGAAACATTGATTGACTGCCTCTTGTATGCACCCTGATCAAGGATTGGACCCATAACCTAGGTATGTGCCCAGACTTGAATTTGAACCTACAATTTTCTGATGTATAGGACGTGATCCAACCGACTGAGCCACCAGGCCAGAGGAATGAGTTTTTGCATAGATTAGTAAAAGATGTTAATGAAAATCGTGTAATTCCATGTGACCCACATCTACATGTCTATATGTAAGTTCAGCGTGTCCTCAAATAATGTTATTTCATTCAATGTCATTTCGTTACAACCTTGATGAGATGCTGTAGAAACCTCTTGTTTATATCAATTAGCCTATTGTAAAATTGGTTTCATTATGCATCGTTTAGCTTAGTGGCGAAACTTATCTATGGGCAGTGTTAAGTGAGGATTTGTGAGGTTTGTATGTGTATGTATGGTGAGGGTCCTGGGACATTGAGGGTATGGTAAGACATGAAACTGGAAGTAAGCTAAGGAAGGTTCTAAATGCATTTTAAAGAGGTGCTAAACTAAGTCTAACCAAATTCACCATAAAGCTTAACACACACAGAGCACTGTGTTAAAAATGAAAGGATAGACAGCTCAGTGGGTAGATCTTGGGTAGACAGTTGCTTGCCATGTTAAGTAGATTTGACATGAACATTACAGAGCAAAACACTTTCAGTACATTGTCTGTTAATTTTCTCAGTCATTACTTTTGGTATAATTATATAAGTTATAATATTATCATATGAATATTTTTAAAATATGGTAGGCATGCCCTGGCCGGTTTGGCTCAGTGGTTGGGGCCTCAGCCTGCGGACCAAAGAATTGTGGGTTCAGTTCCATTCAAGGGCATGTACTTTGGTTGCAGTTCAGTCCCCAGCCCTGGTCGGGGTCATGCGGGAGGCAACCAGTCAATGTGTCTCTCTCACATCGATGTTTCTCTCTCTCTCCCTCTCTCATCTTCCCTGCCCTCCCACTATCTGAAGATAAATAGAAAAATATCTTTGGGTGAGGATTTAAAAAAAAAAAAGGTAGGCATGCCTTTTAAACATTTAAGGGAAAATGTAGGAGTCTGTGATGAAAAATTTAGTTTATCAGAAAGTTCAATCCAAGATGGCAAGCTTACTTGCTGCTTTGTTTTTTTGTTTTTTTTGGTTAATCTTCACCTGAAGATATTTTTGCATTGATTTTTAGATAGGGTGGAAGGGAAGCACATTGGTTGGTTGCCTCCCACATCAGGTACGTGCCCTTGACCAGGAATTGAACCTGAGACCCTTTGGTCTGAGGGCTGACGCTCTAATTGCTGAACCAAAGAGGCCAGGGCTGCTTTGATTTTTTTGAATTATTTATGCGTTTGTGAGCCTGCAGAACAAAAGGAAACCTCAGTCTAAAATTTATGTCTTGGATCTGTGAGATTTAGCTGCGAATATATTAATTTTCTTTCTAGCTTGCTTTCCTAATTTTTTCTTTTTTAGAGAGAAGAAGCAGGGGAGAGAGAAAGAGAGAGGGATATCTTTTGCATGCCCCCTATTGGGGATTGAGCCTGAAACCTGGGCATGTGCCCTAATTGGGAATTGAACCAGGGACCTCTTGGTGCATAGGATGATGCTCAACCCACTGAGCAACATCGGCCAGGGCTAATTTGTAGTTTTAGCCAAGAGTTATATATAATGGCTGAAAACTGATGTTTTCCCACATTGACAGAATCATATGACCTTTGAAGAATTGTGAAATTAGTGAAAATGAAGGGGTCATTTTGAGATAAGATTTGTTTTACACTAAGAT